AGGTCCACTTTAAAATAAATCAACACAGCACTTGGGGAGTCCTCTGCACATTTGAAGGAAAGAAAATAGAATAAGAATTGACCCACTTTGAAATAAATAAAACACATAGCTGCACCCTAAAAAGAGTTAACTGATTGAATTATGACATAAGATCGTCAGCTGTCTTCCTCTTCCGTTTTTTCCCTCAATACGTAAAGGCTGCAGCACCTTTAACAACTTCTCTCTACATATCAAACATACCGGGAAGCCGGCATCGTTTGCTGTGAAAGCATATAACTCTAACCACGCAGAATTAAATCCTGTGTTCCTCCGATACTTTTATTTTCGTTGATTTATCCATAGTTTGCTCATTGAGCCGGGGATCAGGTTATTCGTCTACAAGAAAAGGCGCTGGCGAGGGACCGTAGCAGGATATGACGCATATTTTAGTTGACCTAATTAAAACCGCTTTGTTTACGACACCCCACGCAGCAACCAGGAAACAACACCAGTAGTCCAGCTCACACTGTCCGCTTCTCGAGCCCCAAAGGGCGGACCAGCGAGCCCCGCAACGTCCTGCCAACTCGGCACCCAGACCCCACACAGCATTCTCATCTGTTTGTCATTACTGGTGTCATTTTCTGGTTGCTAACAAACGCCATTGTAAAACATAAACACTGATGTTCCGCCGTAACGGTGGTTGACTAATCAGTACAGAGTGGGCGAGCTGACCAATCAGAGCACTGTGGGCTCATAGGGAGCGGGAGCTCCAACAAGGCGTGTAGGAGAGTGAATATACAGAGATGCTGTATGAGAAAACCAATGTGATTTTGGAACATTGATCAATGTAAATCTATTCTAGTAGACCTCAACAATGGAATTATGATCAGTAGAGATGGCCAAGACATGGGACCTTTAACCCTTGTGTTGTGTTCGAAAGCTGTTACCGTTCATGGTGTTCGCGGGTACATTTTGACCCATGATTTATCTCAGTCCAAAACACTCAAAAAGAATGACTATCATCCAATATTGTTTTAACTACATCCTAACTAACTTATAATGCATCCATAACCGTACAATTCTGTTGTAATTTTATTGTATTGCCCCAAAACACATTACACCACATATTGCACACGTGCATGTGTGTGTTCAAGTGTTAGTGTACATATTATTTGAGAAAGGTTGAGTTCCCGTGGGGGGAGGGGGCCAGAGGGATGGGAGACCAGGTGCATGTTGCGAACAATGATTGTTACAGTGGATGAAGGGGGGTGGGGCTGGGGTGTCTAAAGTCAAAGATGAATCTTGATTTGGTGAAATCTGACCCCGAGTGACCCAAAACAATTCTGCTGGGTCTTCCCAGACCCGAACACCAAATTATACACTTTTTTTTTTAGAAACCTTCAGACTTGGCTAAAATTGTCAAAATCAGTTTTGTAGTGTTTATATAGCTTTGTGGAGGATATCATGAAGCCTTGTTCCGATAAAAAAAACTAGAGCGTAGTTATTATATAATTTTAACTTGAAACGGGTCACGGGAGACCCGAACACAACATAAGGGTTAAGAGAACCATTATGCTGAACACATGTTTATGGATTGTACAAGTTATCTTAATATTTATTTTACACACATTAAACTAAATAATTCCCCTTGAAGCTTAACACCGCCACTTGGGGACCTGACCCTAAATTGGGAACCACTAACTTAATTGGACTGCATTACGTGTTTCTTGTTACTACATTTATCTATTACAAAACTAAATGATTGCAATGTAATCCAGCTCATCACCATCTGCTGTTTGAATGCAATGCAGTTTTTCTGGTCACTGAGGTGGCAAAAGTACTTAGATCTTGAACTTGAGTATAATTAGAAGTACCAGAGTGTATCTCATTGTTACTCAAGTACAATTACAAAAGTATTAGCATCAAAATATACTTAAAGTGCCAAAAGTAAAAGTAGTCATTGTGCAGATTAGTCAATTTCAGAATAATATATAAGATATATATGAGATGTTTGATTATATTGATGAATTAAAGTGTTCTCAAATCTGGTAAAGGTGCAGCTAGTTTTAATGAATTTGTATACTAAAGTCTGATTTAAATGTTGATCATATTTCACATCATTCATCCAAATCTGTAAAGTAACTAAAGGTATTAAATAATTAGTAAAAGTACACCATTTACCTCTGAACTGTAGTGGAGTAGAAGTACGAAGTATTGTACATCTAAATTGTACTAAAGTATAATACTTGAGTAAATGTACTAAGTTACTTTACACCAATAGAAAAAGTAAATAAAAGACTAAAGGGATCCAAGAGGTTTCTGGTTTTAATTGCATCCTTAGAATCACAAGATTAAGAAAATACACATTTCACATTATGTTTCATGACAATGTCAACCAAAATCTCTCAACACATGTTTCCATGAACATTAAGGTTGTCAAAGCAATACTCTATCCAGGTGCTTTACTAGATATTGACAAAGTCCTATGAATATTCTAATATTATCCAAGAGAAAGTCTCCTAGTAATCTGGATATTAATTATTGAATAAAACATGGGGCCTTCTCACATGAGTGAATCATGGATGGATGGAAAGACAGCTGTTCAGAGACCAGGACCTTTTGTTAATTCAGCATAAACAATAGGTTGAGGTTTTTGCAATATAGCCAACTCGGAGGTAACATGAGGTTAATCCAAACCTGTTATAAACGATCACACAGGACTACAAACTACATATAAAATAGGGATGGGAATTTGAAAGCAAATGTATATTCGAATATTCAACCCCCAAAAAACGGTTAACCGATTAACCGAAATGTACATATCCAGTAAAAATGTGGGAAAAAGGTTTACGGGAAAAAAAAAAAAGAAAAAAGATTTAATTTTGAAAAATAAATAAATACATGTTCAAATAAGTATAGAAACCAAGTCGAATTTGTCAGATGTATTGAACTGGTGATCACTGTTTGAACAGTTGACAGCTATAGGCCTACAGCTTTCATGCTTAAAACATAACTTGGTTTTTAAATTAATGAGGGATCATACACGAACAACATAACGGGTTAGGGTAACGCAACCCTATTACAACAGAGATCAACAACCTATAACAGGGCCTATGCACAGAATGCTGCTATTCAATACTCATTCTTCTTTAAGAATATGAGCATGTCTACTCAGGGGAGAGGTGGGTGCGGAGGCGATTCACAATCAGGCCAGCTGTAGAGAAGACCCTCTCAGCTGGAATTTGGACATAAGATGAGGTTTGAGTCTGCGTGGTCTGCGTGTAGGGAGGGGCAGCAGCCATATCATTGGCTAGAACTAGCTAGATCTGATGGATTTGGACATAAACGCGAGTGAAGTCTAACCGGACGCGAGAGAGAGAGATCAGCACCTGCAGCTCTGCCCGCTGTGAGGGACCGGTGAGCGGAGCAAAACACACCTTTAGACGTCACCTAACACATTTAGCTATGGCACTGTCGTATACATTGAATTATTCCATTTGATAATATGTAATCACCTTAGGCACCCCTCCCAAAAAAAGAAAATATTAGAATATTTGATGAATCGTTCCCATCCCTAATATAAAACAGTGAAAATCACCAAAAGGCAGGGATGTTCACTGCCGCAGAGAAGCACACGCACACATTGTAAAAAGAACAAAAATATAGTTCAACCAATGAAATACCTAAAAAGCTATGTGTTAAGTTATGCGAGTGTATGATATGATCTTAAAATCATATTTGTATTAAAGGTTATTCTTTCTGTTTTGAGATTCAGAAACATTAGACCATTTTGGCAAATGAAAAAAATGTATTTGGCACAATAGTTAATTTAAATTTAATTTTAACAGCATATAGGAAAATAAGTCATATTGTGGTGTTACATTCAAAATGCTGAAGATACTAGCCATGATCACAAATTCAGTTTACTTTTACAAAGAACAGAACCATGTTACACTAGTATGTTCCTATTATGACAAGTCTAAAAGGCCTATTGCAATTCAATACAAGTCATAGTAGTTTGTTTATTTGTATGTTTTATAGTGTTTTTCAAGAAGCATGTAAGTTAGATGAAGTGCTCTGCAGAGGTTGCTAATTATAAACTCTTATTTATATACTGTTGACATTGAGCAAGGGGATAAAGTATTGCGTTTCAGTGTGTTTAGAAGATTGTGATAACATATGTTGATAGCTGTGGTTAAAGCTACCTTGTAGTTGTAAATGCATTTTAGATTTTTGTATACAGTATCTTCAAATGCCCTTCACAATGTGACCGCAACAATAAATACCTGCAAATCTACCGGTCCGCGCTTTCATTGCGCGTCACCAGAATCTTCCACAAGCTGCTGGGTTGCGGCCTGTACACAACTCGCGAACGCTCATGAACTGTTAGCGCGGGGAAACTGCGGCGCGCGAAATTGCGCCGCATTTGCACATAAGATGAGGCCCTACACACTGCTTGTGTTCTGCGTGTAGGGAGGGGCGGCCCTGCATACTTCTTAACACGTGGGTGGATCATTTTTGAGTTTTTTAAGTACCTTACTCTTGCTGGCTTCAAGGGATTTTTGTGGGCGGAAAAATATACTTATTTGCCAAAAGTTGAAAGAGAATTTTGGTACTTCTACAATGTCGATCATCCAAAAATGGAGATCCATTAGCTTAGCGTAGCACGAAGACCGAGAGCACAGGGAATTGGCTAGCTTGACTCCATCTGAAATAAGAAAAAACGTAACATTAAAAAAGCTGATTTTAGAAAATGTAAAATGTATACTTGTATTCAGCACCAGTTGCCATTAAACAGCAGCCCTATCTGCTAAATGTATTTCTGCTCTAACTCTAACTGTATCCTTCATTTGATGGGAAAGTTCAAGACTTAGTTGCAAGTTAACCCAGTGTCTCGAACAGGTTTTTTTTTGTAAACTTTGATCACTACATTTCAGTTCAATGTAAACATTGATTTTGTACTGTATTTTTTCGAGTCCAATCTTGTTCGACTGGTAATTACTGTTTTTCAAAGTAAAAACCACATCTCAAGGGATTTAATGATGATTGAAAACATTTTAGAAACAGAATTGTACTACTTTCTCAACAATTTGAAAAACTAAAATCCAACAATTATGGGGAGCAGCATGTGCCCTCAACAGTACAGACTACATTTCTTTCCATTAGTGCTACCACTTAGGATTGGACCAAGTTTGCTACTTCATGGCTAAAACTTGATACTTGCTTTCAGTTCCTCGAGGATGTCAGTGCCACTGCTCCAGACTATGACTTTAGCTCTCAGAGAAGAGTTATCTTTCTGATCTTGTAGTGTGACCAGCAGTTTCTCCAGGGGGTACCCCTTCCTGGGCATCACAAAATCATTCCCTCTCAGACAGGAAGTGGGGCAGAAATCATTCCTGCCATCCCCTGAGTAAAATACCTGCTCGTACTCTACCCCTCTATTGGACTGCTCTGACAGATACACCTCCAGAACCTTTTTCTTGCAGAGGTTTACGGAGCATTGATCACAGTCATGAGAGTGGTAGTTCTGCACCTCCATGTACCCGAGCTCGTTGAACTTAGCTGGGTTGGTGTAAACCTGATCGATGGCTGCGTGGAATCCAGATGCCTGGATGATCCAGTCTATGAACAAGGAGTTGGAGTCAGAGATGACTATACAGTCAATGGTGCTTTTATGCTCTGAAATGAAGGTCAGCAAGTCTTTCATCCCAGCTGTGAAGGGGATGGTCTCCATAACGCTGCGGATGCTGTCGGAGCTGACCTCCTGCTCTCCTGGTTGGACAGACAGAAAAATGATCAGAGAGCTGAGATGTAACGGTCTGTATGGAAGCACATTTCTACCAGTCAAAAATAATTGAAAACATAGCATTGTGATGGAAAAAAATGCCAAACATCTTTAAATAACAATAACTTAATATCTCAAAATAATTATTTCAAAATAATGATCGAGTATCGGGGGGAAAATGACTTTGTACACATTATTTAAGGATATTAAGTCATTGTTTTGAGTACGTTTCTCTTTACTATGAGATACTAAGTCACTATTTTGGAATTACTATATTTTTGGGGATATTTTAAGTAATTATTTAGAGAGGATAAACTATTACTTGGAAATATAGCATCATTTTGTCACTATATTGCAATAGGAGTTCATACATTTGAGATACAAAGTAATGGTTTTGTGTAAGTATTTCATAAATATGATACATTAAGTCAATATTTTTGACAAATTAAATTATTATTTGAGATACTAAAGCAATATTTGAAGGTACTAAGACATTTTCCTTAAAATGACCTACAGGGTTTTTTTTCTCACATTGTCAGAAAACGGCTTCCATAGCTTGAAAGTCGAAATAAAAGGTTATTGATCAAATGTTTAGCAGCTTTCTAGTTGTATGAATGAATGAGTTGCCAGCTAACAGGATAGTAAATGCTCACCTATGTACTTCATCACGCTGCCCATGAACTCAGTCCAGTGGCCTTTTCTGTAGGATTTCTTTACAGAGTCAGGAAGAGTCTGAGAGGGAAGGCTTCTGTGGAGAGTAAAAGCAGGAAAGATCCACAGTGGATAACATTGTTGCTTGATATTAAAATATATGAATGAATATTTCCTCTGCATATTTTAACTGTATCTTGAACCTGTCAGTGAATAGTCAAACATTTGTTTACATTTTGCAGGAGTATAAAAAATACTACCAAACCTGTTTTTTTAATGAATTTTTGTATTGATTCATAAATTCATTAAATCATATTATTTACCTTATCACCCAAGTGTCACTGTTGTCATCAACCACAGTGTGGTCAAAGTCAAACACCATCAGAGTCTTCATGTTTCAGCTGAAATAAAACATTGGGTCAGATATAGAAAATTGTACAAGAAGTGAAGAAGATATTATGATTACTACTATTATTATTATTATTATTATAGTATCGTTGTACTACGCAGGTTTTCTCGTTCATGACATGACACTAGGGTTTGGTCAGTTAACAACATATTTGTTGCACTGCCACCTTATCTTCCATAAGCACAAACTGTGACTGTACCAAACAACCTCAATACATCGCCAAACTATTATATGCCGACTGAACCACAGGTCCTGTATCAACCCTAATATGGTGTAAGTTATTTTCTAATAAATGTATAAGATTAATGAAAAACGAATTGTGTTTTAAATGACGCATTTTTATTAGAGGTCTGGTGTAACTTCGCCTCCTTACAAGTCATCGGCCTAGCCTCTCTGCTAACCCCTCTATTCATATTCTACTCCAGCTATCAAGATCCGGCTCAGGGGGAAAACAGGGGTAGCGATAGTTGTACTACACTATCTATCACGTTCACATACGTAACATGCATAATGTTGGATGAAACTGTGATGAAACTGACCTGAGTCTGTATGACATCGGTCCACGGCTCTGACTTCCTACCGGTCTTCTTGTCTGTCGCACGACACGATGTGATCTTCATCTGGTCTCATTACCGCCTCCTGCTGGTGAAGGGCCGCTTTTAAAATGACTTGCTGTTATCATAGCAGCAGTACCCGTAATAACCTCAGACTCTTGGCTATATATAAATATCCCATGTAAAACTACCAGACTTTGAGAAATTATACTTATCTTTGTAATAGTGTTATAGTTTGCAACTGTGTAATAATGCTGCAAAAATAATGTAACTCCATGTAATCAAGTAGGCTGCTGTTAAATACACATTTGAGGTACTTGTGTTTTACTGGAGTCTTCTTTTTCATGCCACTTAATACAAACATTGTACTCTTTACTGCACCACAATTATGTTACAGCTTCAGTAACTGTACACATTTGGATTGTCGTGCCCAAAACATTTTAATCATCGACAGAAAACCCATTAGATTGATTGATAAACTCTTTTGATAATACTTTGTTCAAACAAATGTCATGATGCCAAGCCAGGGTGTTACATTTATGTCGGCATTTCACATTTAAATCAACTGCATATATTTTACCCATTGACACAGACAACACTGAATGCATCATTTCCCCCTTTTGCCCACTGGGCGGCAGTATCAAACAGCCTACATATCTACAAAGAATCAAAGAAAACAGAGAAGAAGAAAACCTGTCGGTTTAGTTCCTGGCTGCATAAAGTCAAGAATCCTCCTCTTTTTTCTGAGTGTTGTTGTTCTTATCTTTAAGCTTCACGGTCGCTTTATCCGACCAACATGTTTAAAGGTTTTGGGTCGTGGTTGGGGTTGGAGAACCAGACGTACAGCAAGACGTCGGACGACCAAGAAGCCCTGACAGTGGAGCAGGAAGAAAAGGTGGTGGAGGCACAAAACGAAGTAAACAAACAGCAAGCAGCTGACCATGGACACCCAGAGGCCAGCCAGGAAGACTCTGTGCACGGGAAAGGACTCAGCGGTGAGAAATACATACGATGCATTGCTGTGTTTGAGATTAAGCTAGGTAATTAGCTGGTCATGTACCGTGCCTGTTATCTGGCAGTCTGTTTTAACACGTCATACAGAAATGAAGTTCTACAATGGTTATTTGTTCAATGTTAACCCTTCATATCATTTATTTAAAACACAAAGTAAACCAGTTAAATGTCACCGTTCTTTAAGCAGCAAAATATCAGAATCAGGTGTATTGCTAAGTAGGTTTACACATGTATGTATGTAGTGCATACATACACACAGTTAAAGAAGATCTATTGTAAGAAAAACCACCCAAAAATAATTATATAATATGAAATAGTTATAATAATAATAATAATAATAATAAAAAAGAACTATTCTAACATTAAAATATAGAGAAATATGAATACAAAAAAACAAAATAGAAGCAAATAAGAAGTGGTGTAAAGCTCAAAATACCTCCCTACCTAAAGGGGTATCTGTCTTACTTATGTTTGTTGTTGTTGTTGTAGATATTTTTTTAGCAATAGCCCCACAGGATGATGATTTGACACCCATGCTAACTTCTAATTGCATTTCTCTTCCTGAAGATTACATCTTCAGTTTTGCCTCCAGTGCCACCAAGAAGATCTCGGAGTCTGTGGTGGAGACGGCTCAGACCATCAAGAAGAGTGTGGAAGAGGGGAAGATCGACGGCATCATAGACAAGGCATGTTGCAGTTGTTTCTGGTTTCACAAGTTTAAAAGCATGTAATAATAATTAATAATAATAATAATTCCTTACATTTATTATAGCGCTTTTCCAGATGCTCAAAGCGCTTTACAAATACACATTACACATATCATACATGCAATGGGCATGTAGAACACAACTTTGTGGAAGGGGTTACTTGTTGTCAAGTACAGCAACTTGCTTAAATGGGGCCTATTATGCTCATTTTCAGGTTTATGTTTGTGCCTCTACTGTGAAATGTGTAAAGCTCTTCATTGTTGCTGCAGCACCTCTTTTCACCCTCTGTCTGAAACCAGAGCCCAGTCTGCTCTGATTGGTTAGCTGATCTGTTGTGATTGGTCAATCGCCTATCACGTACAATGTGTTGGAGCGCTAGCCAATAGAAGCACGAGTATTACAGTGATGTCACTATGTTAAAGAAGTAAACAAAGGAGTCCAATGGAGGTGTTTCAGGCGGGGGGGGGGAGAGAGAAACTCCCTCTGGAGGGAACCCAGGGATTTTAGACTTTACAGACCATTTACATGCACACAAAACTATAAAACACAGCACAGGAGAGGGAGAACCCAAAAAGCATGATAGTGCCCTCTGTAACATGATAAAGTGCTGCACACTATAAACAGCAGGAGCAGATATTTAAGTGTACTCAGCTCTGCCTTTCTGCTGCTTCAGCATACTGCTAAAAACAACCAATTGATTGTAGAAAAAAATGAAAGGAAAATATTTCCAACCTTATTTGATGTAATGGTGCAGCAATGAGTCCTGAAACCTGGAGATATTCCTGCTGAACAAAATATGTAAATATCCTAAACGTTAGTTTACCAAACATCTTGTTTTCTGCAATAATCCAAAATACACTAGTCTGCACTAGTTCACGGCATGGCACATTTTAGACCAAATAACGACTATGAACAGAATCATGTCGCTTCATGCATTGTTACAATATTTAAATTGTGGTTATTGTGGAAGTTGACACAGCGATGGTGATTAAAAATATATATTGTGTTATTCCCTACATACTATCACCCCCCCCCCCCCCCCCCCCCCCCCCCCCCCAGTCCTTAACCTACATTTAATGTGCATCTGTTTGTTACACTTGTGTATTTGCAGACTTTCCTAGGAGACTTTCAAAAAGAGCAGGAGAAGTTCGTCCAAGAGAACAAGTCCAAAAAATCAGGTAAAACCAGATTGAACCGGCAAGAATCTTATATATGAATAAGCTAACAAAGGAATCTCTTCCAAATGGATGTATCTTCTGTGAAAGAGCCCCTTGACTTTCAAGGCAAACCAGCATCAATGTATCCACTCGATTAGCATGTCATGGTTTGTTGTGGGAAACACAATGAAAATGTCTTGGAATTCTAGCTCTTCGGGGAAATAGTGATACATCAAAGAGTAACAGTAATGTGTGAGTAAAGGGAAGCTTATTTTGATGATTACACTAAAATGTTGCCTCGTGTTTTAACCTCACTATAGGGGTTATCTGCTCAGGCTTATTCACTATGTCATGTGCAGATAGAAACAAACGTTTAACATATAATTGGCAGACACTCTCTTTAATTTGTCACATACAGTGTGAAGTGTCCCATGTAGTGAGTTAGCTAGCGAGCATGTTTTCCCTTTAAGAAGTTATTCAAGCACACAATGTGGGTTTAATGATTACAGTGATCAACTCAGTCACAGTTTTATAATAAATACTTAATATAGAAAGGGGAATTTAACCCTTCATTACATTACATGTTACTTGTTAGACGCTTTTAACCAAAGCGACTTACATACTCAATACTGTGGACAATCCCCACAGGAGCAATTTGGGGTCAAGTGCCCAGGGACACAACGACATGCTGACTGCAGTGGGGTTTGAGCCTGTGACCCCCTGATCCCTATGCCAAGGCTCTATCCACTGCGCCACACGTGTGTCGCAGTGGATAGAAGGCGTACGCCTTCAATTAGCAGGCTCAAGTTACATCCCACACAGAGCTAACTAGCAACAACTAGAACTAGCTAAGGTGTTACTACGTTTTAAACGGTGCACTTTGCTTTAGGCTGCTATCTTCAGGTTAAATAAAAAATTCCCAAAATCCATATTTGCTCCAGGAATATAGTCAAAACTTACATGAACATATGAGTTTCTTTGGCTCACACAGTTCAAGAGTGTGGGACAAACATGTGATAGGAGCATGGGACTGACTTCATATTTAATAAGATGATGGCAAATGATCTAAACATGTAACATACGAGTACACCACTGAATGCTTTGTCTGGTGTGCAAGCTTATACCATAACATGCCATAAGAGCTATTATTGCTTCTTATTTTTTCCCCGACTCAAAAAAACCACTACTGAAAGATACAGATGTTTATTCAAATTGCAATCTTGTCAAACTTTATTGATACAAAATGTGGAAATCTTCACATCTGCCATCTGTCAGTAAATGTACATTATCAGTTTAAATAACTTAAAGGGGACCTATTATTAGGGTTGGGAACCGAAACTCGGTTCCAGATGAGAACCGATAAGAAAATGCCGGGTACCGGGTACCCATACAAAATACACAATTTCGGTTCTGCTTAACGGTTCCTAAACGCGGTAGACCCTGTATTCCAGCGGGTCCGTCTGCACCGCGGTGCTGCGGTGACCCGGTGGAATACAGGGCGGACCTGGAGAATCACAGAACGGCCGGTCGTCAGCGGGCCGTTGACGGCCGGCTCGGTACGCTGACGGCCGGCACCGCCCTTCATTTTTTTAAACGGCATCATATAAATTGCGCTGACAGGCGACAGAGGTCCACAGTTGCCCCGCAGCGATGCTCCCCCGCCCTCCCGTAGACATTTCACGAGCTCAGTCACTTCATAACACCAAAGATAGGTCGCGGTAAACACTCTGAAGTGAGGCTCCACTACACTAAAAAAGAAAAAGAAAAGGCAAAGTGTAATGCCTGTTAATAGCTTGCCACAGGCATAGCTCAGTTAAAATAAAGCACAGCTATTGTGCAATACATTTGTATTGCATGTATATTTTTTAGTAACAATTTCAGTTAAAGCTTTTAAGAATAAATATATTTTTGTTATCTAAACGTTTGACCTCTTTATTTTACAATTTTGGAATCGAAACGGGGAATCGATAAGAACCGGAATCGATAAGCAGAACCGGAATCGAAATCGGAATCGATAAATTTCAAACGATACCCATCCCTACCTATTATGCAAAAGTGTCAGAAAACAAAACTCTCTCTTTTCCTCCGCACCCACATCTCTAAATAAAAAGAAAAAAGGGGGGTGCTAGCAAGCAGATCCAGAATTGTCTGGATCTGCTTGTTAGCACCCCCCTCGACACGTCCCAACCTA